GGCGCGGGCGCCGCGGCCGCGTCGCGCCTGTTCGGCGTGTCGCTGCGCTTGCCGGCCGCCAAGACCGCGCCCGCGACCGCGCCTCCCTCGCCCTGCGTGCGCGCACACAAACAGCATGCGGGGCGCGACTTGGAGCCGCGTGCGCGTGAAGATGACGTCACCGCTGCCAAGGGCGATTCAGCACGTGGTCGCGCCCGCCCACCCACGCGGCCCGCCTGGTCACACCTCTCCCCTGGACACTCCGAACGACACATTCACATGCGCATCCAAGCATGCCGCAGCCACGCTTTGCCAATTTCCAGGCTTTCCCTTGTTGCCCGCCATCCGCCACGCGACGCGCGCTGCCCGCCCTCCCCGCATCCATTTGCCGCCCCGCATCCATTTGCCGCCGGCAAAGCTCGACGCCGCGCCTCATGCGCGTGCAGATCCCGATCAGATACCATGTGCCCGCCCACCTTCCAGGCCCTGCTGCTGTCCGCCAGCTCCACTGCATCTGCCAGCGCTAGGTCACGCCGCCGCCGCTCCTCATCCGTTTCGCGCACAAAAGGATGCTCCAGCAGCTCAGGCCACCCCAGCCTGGCGGGCGTCGGTTGGGGGTTTGCTTGAGTTTATTTGATTTAGCGGCCAAGGGAGTTTCGCTCGTGGGCTCGGTGGGGAATGTATAGTGGTGATGGGAGACTCATAGGTGTGTGTGTGCGTGCACACGCGCGCGCGGGTGTGTGTGTGTGTGTTGGGGGGGTGAGGTGACCAAGACTTCTCGTGATATTGATCGCAGAGGGGGGGAATCCGCACAGCGCTGCAGCCCGAGGCGGGATGAGCGGCTGGGTGAGACCGAGCCCGTCCCGTGGGTTGAGTGCGGACTTTTTGGCTGTGCAAGGGGGCGCGGCGCCCGGCGCAGGCCGGGGGAGGGGGCTTCGGAGGCCACTCAGTGGGGCAGGCCCTCACCGCAGGCCCCCCTCCCTCAGCGCAAAAGGACTCGCCCCCGCCCGTGAGGCGTCCGGGTGGCGCGCGGCCCGGCCCCCACCTGTCCCCGGGCCTCTTGTTGAGCAGCCCCTTGAGGAAGGACTTGAACTCTGGCGAGATCTTCTCGGGGAACTTCACGGGGTCCTGCGCGGAAGACGGGCGGGCAGGCGGGCATGCCGGCGGGCGGGCGGCAGGCGCGGGCGGGTTGGGGGCGGCGAGGGACACTGCGGTCTGCCAACAGTCAGGGCCTGCGCACTGCGGCGGCCTCTTTGCAGGAGCAGCAACACAGCCTGCCCCGCTGGCCAATCATCGGGAAGCCGCAGCAAAAGCCCGTGGTTGCTCATAACAGGGCACTTGACCCGAAGATGCACAACGATTAACGCAGGACGTAGGGGTTTGTGGCAGCGGCGGCGGCAGCAGCAGCAGCAGCGGCGGCGGCAGCTGGCAAACGCAGCAGCGGCAGCAGCAGCAGCGGCAGCAGCGGCGGCAACTGATCGCGGCGACAGCAGTCAGTGGGAGCAGCGGGCAGCAGCGGGCGGCCCCTCACCTTGACGATGTGGTGGATGAGGGAATAGATGCTGTTGGTGTAGAAGGGTGGCTGCCCCACGTACAGCTCATACAGGATGACACCCAGTGACCAGAGGTCGACCTTGGGGAGGATTTTGTATGTGTATAATGTGTGTGTGTGTGTGTGTGTGTGTGCGCGCGCGCGCGCATGTGCTTAGGAAGGGGAGGGGATGGGATGGATGCACTGAGGGGCGGCTGAGACTGCAGGGGTGCTTTGAAGGGAGACGCGAAAGTGCCTGGATAGGCAGTTCACGCATATGCACGGTTTCAAGGTGAGTGGGCAGACATCCGCCACGCGCAGCAGGACGGGGGAAGAACGGGTGGGGGGAATGAGGCGACAAAGTCGACGCGGCTGTTGGGTCACACGCACTCGCAAACACTTACACCCACACTTTCTAGGTACACATGCACACGCACATGCTCGGCTGCTCTGTTCTTCAGAGCAGCCGCATCCCAACCGGCATCCTGCACCCTGTGTGCGCTCCATACGCCGACGCGCCGCTCCACCCTTCACCCTGCAATACTCACGCCCCGCAACTTCCCGGTGAACTTCCCAGCCGCCCACCGTGTGGTTATAGGGCTGCTCCTGCACCAGCTCTGGCGCCATGTAGAGCGGCGTGCCCTTGATGCTGGTGAGCACCATGGTGCTGCAGCTCATGGCACGCGCAAAGCCTGGGGGTGAGCACGCGGGCAGAAAGGAACGTGTAGGTGTCTATGCATTCTTGTTTTTGTGTATATGTGTGTGAATGCGCAACTCTGCGGGGTGTGTGTGCGTGTGTGTGCGCGCGCACTCGCCCTTACTCGTGTGCGCGTGTATGCTGAAACGACAAATTGTGCCCACACAGACCGCGGCACAGACCCCGGCTGGCGCAGCTGCGCTGTTGCGGCTGTCGCACACGCCAACAAGACCCATAGGCAGCCGCGACAGAGGCCCCAGCACGCGCCAAACCCCCCGCCCCCGCCAACCCCCGGGGCCTGCGCCCTCGAGGGCCCCGACCGCCCGTGCCGCGGCGGCGGCGGCGGCGCCGCCGCGCGCGCACCAAAGTCGCAAAGCTTGACGGCGCCGTTGGCGCCGATGAGGATGTTCTGGGGCTTCATGTCGCGGTGGATGATGCGGTTGGAATGGAGGTAGTGCAATGCGTGGACCTGCGCGTTTGTTTTTTTTGGGGCGGGGGGTGAGAGAAATGAGGTTCAAGAGGGCCGCAGTAAGATGTGCGGGCGGGAAGGTGCCGGTGATATGGAGGGCTGCTCCGCGGCGGCGGCTGCTCGCGGGCGAGGCGGCACGCAGCTCGTGGGTCTCCAGGAGACGCAAAATCGCCCTTGCCCTTCCCAGGGACTCGGATTGCCGCCGCCAGCAGCCGCCACACGGGCTCTGAGCCGCGTGCCGCCGCGCTTCAGCCCGCCTCCTGCCCTGCATCCGGCGCGCTGCTGCCCGCCCTGCTCCTGCCTGGCCGTTCCATTCTTGGGATCAAATGGCGTGGCAGGCACGAGGGGACCCTACGCACCAGCTGCTTTGCCACGTTCTGCACCACCTCCTCTGGCAGTGACTGGTCGTCTTCCAGCACCTCAAATAGCTCCCCCTGGGCAAACTCTGGAGCAAGCGGTGGCAGGGATGCACGCAAGACACGGTGCGCGTCGCACTGCAGTCGGCAACGGCGGTGCTGGCCGCGGCGCGCGTGTGCTCGCCGCTCGTTGACGCCAAAACCGCGTGGCCGCAACCCAGGTTCGCGACAAGCACACGCGCACACGCAGTCGCCGTCGCTCGCCGTCCGAGCCGCAGAGCCCCAGACCAGGCGCCACCTCGGCCGCGCCGTGCCGATTGACGCCGCGGCCCCATTCAAGAGCCTCCTGCGACGGGCCAGGCGCCGATGCCGGCCAAATTGAAGCAGCGCCCCGCTCAACTCACCCATGACAACCACAAAGTGGTCCTTAGTCTCAAATGCATCCAGCATCTGAATGATATTCTCGTGGCGCAGGTGGCGCAGGATCTCGATTTCCTGCCTCAGGTTCTTGATGTCCTTCTCACTCTTTCCCTGCTTCACAATGAACTTCATGGCCGTGATCTGCCCCGTGCAGCGCCGCCGGCCCTTGTACACCTGCGGGGCGCGCGCGTGTGTGTGCGCGTGCGTTCAAGCTGCCCGCAGGCTGTCGCTTGTGCGGGCTGGGCGAGACGCAGCCGCTGGGCAAGCTTAGGCTGCGCGGGGCTCATCAGAGTGTGCCGAAGCGCGCGCTGCAAAGGGAAACACCGTGCGAAAGCGGCAGTGGGCGGCGCGCGGCTCCAGGGGCCATGCGCAGTGGTGCACCACAACGCGGGCCGCAACTGCGCATACTCTGCGGCCGCACCTTCCCGAACGACCCCTCCCCCACAAGATCGATGACATAGTATTTCTGCAGCTGCGGGTCGTTCTCAAACTGCATCTTTACCCAGCTGCCGCGGGCTCCGATCTCACGCCGGACGCCCCCGCCCTGGTAACTAAGGGATAATCATATAACAGACTCTGCTTGTTGATTGTGTCAAACGACCGCGCAGACACCGCTGGGACCGGGTTGGCGCGAATGCTGCTTCGTCGCGCGTTTGATGCAATATGTAGAGCTTCAACTGAGGCATACAAGCGTTTTCGAAGCCGCGGCGATGGGGAGCACGAGGTCCAGGCGCGGCGGCGCTGGAAGGGACAGGCTGCAAAACTCGCGGTACCTTGTTGCTCCAGGTGCAACCACCTTTCGGGTAAGCACCTGTGGTGCAATCAGCAATTGCCAGTCAAGTGCAAGCACACCGCTTTTGCTCCCTCAGAGAAAAATAGAAGTAGGCAGTTGGTTACAACAACTGAGCTGGACCCCCTCAGAACCCTACAGCAGACATTTTCTTGTGGCCTGATGCTGAGAGGGTGGCGTGTCAATAGTATGTTGAAGTGGTGGCCGCATGCCTGCCTGGACATCGCCTCTGCATGCAGGGTGGAGGGAGGGGCGCGGCCGCACCAGGGCCGCTCCAGCTCCCGGTTGTACACGTACAATTGAAGCGAGCCCACAATGCTGCGCCATCTCAGACAGCCGAAAAGAACAGTGTCGCGCCAGACGGTGCGCCGCGCTCGAAAATGCACACGCGCTTCCAAGTGTTAGTTGTGGCCCACAAGGGTGCCGCGGCAGTGCCCTCGCACATGGAGTCGTTCCTGTGCCCGGCCAATGCGGCCCAAGAGCCCCACCCTCCCCACCCACAAGGTATGGGCTTGTGAGCGGGTCAGGGGGCAAAGCAGGGGTGCCATCATGTTGGAAGCCCCCGCCCTTCAGAATGGATTATGGCGGCGTATGGCCGGGGCCGCTCACGTTTGACCATACACCAGGCGACAAATCAAAATCAGAACCAGCTCCCCTCCCGCAGACACCAAACACCACGCACATGTTGACACATCATCACACAACCGGGGCGTGAGCGCCATACCAATGACGCAGCACGCGCACAATGGCCACAAACACACACTGCTTGAGATCCCAGGTGGACTAGACGAGCGCACGCCCGATACGGCCCTCGGCCGGCGCGCAAGCCACGTCAACCACTAGGCCAAGGGACCAGGGATGCGAAAAGCCGAAGGGTCACGAGATAGGGGGGCGGGCGCCAGGGGCGCAGGGCAGGGCAGGAGTCTGAAAGCTGCAAGGCTGGCGGGGCCTAGGATACCAGGCGCACGGCGCCAGGGCGACCCGCACGAGGAACCGCCATGAAAGAGAGATGGGGTATCCGTGATAGCTGCAGTGTGCCCCTCGGGAAGAAGCTGCCTTGCAAAGCATGTAAAAGCGCGAGAGGGATGGGGGATGGCTAAAAGCGAGCACCGCGGCCCCACCGAGCGCCAGGCGCGGACGGCGCCCGGTTTATCTTGCAAGGGCGATGCGTGAGCGGCGCCCTGCCGCATGAATCTTGAGAAGAGGGTCGAGCCCGCCGCCGCGGCGGCTCAAAGTACCCCGTGCGCCGCGGCCGCGGCGGCGCCAGGCCTCTGCGCGCTGCAACTGCCGTCAATACGGGCGCGCCCGCCGGACGCCCCATACAGGGCCGTGCTCGCGCTGCGGCGCCGCTGCGAGTCGCCTCACGCCGCAGGCTTCCCTGTCTTGCGAGGAGCACGCGGCGGCCGCGGCCTCTGCTAGCGGGCGGCAGCCTTCTGTACCAGGCGGGCGCGCGTGCAGTTTGTGAGGCGTGCCCCACCCCTACGTTCACGACACCCCCTCCAGCAGGAAGATGTCCGCCGTCATCTCCTCCTCGGGCGGCAGGTGGTGACCATCCATCACGTCGTTCGCCCACGCGTCGCCGCCGCCGGCGATGACGCGCGGCGGCGACAGCGGGCCGGACGAGCTGCCGACGCGCTCCAAGCGGAGGCCGCCGAGGCGCTCAGACACCAGCGCTAGGCCGCCGCCGCTCATGGACGCCGCGAGGCTGCCCGGCCGCGACGCCGCGCGCGACGCGGCGCGCGACGCGACCGCGCTCTGCGCGCGCTCGATCGCCGCCGCCAGGTCGAGCGCGAGCGCGGCAGCAGGGACGCCCGCCGCCGCGGCCGCGGCCGCGGCTGCCGCGGAGG